TATATTCTACCCTTTCATTATGACTGTTTTTTTTTGTAGGACGGAAATACGGTTATCGCATCATAGCTGAAACCAAGATCATTGCAAAGAAGTGACAATTCCGTGAATTATATTTTTTTACCTGCTATAAAAGATCAATAATATGTTCTCAATTTGATTTACAAAAATGACATCAAATATCACAAGGCGGAAAATCGTAATTAACAGAGCGATCGGAAGCAAATATTTTTTCCAGATATCTCCGATATCGAGTTTCCCGATGCTTCTCCGGCGACCTGCTGGCCTTAAACGAGTTTAGCATACTAATTACTGAGTCACCCCTCGAGTTACGACGTATGTTTTTGCAGTTAAACCCTTTTAATTCCAAGCTGCTTCCTTTTAACATTTAAGCCCTCAGTAAGACATTAGAACACGAAGTCACGAATGAAATATTTCCATTGACAAGTTTTTTTCTAGCCCATCTTCGAGTTTTCCCTTTAAGTACGCACGAAAGAAAGAAATAAATAATAAAAAAGAGAGAATTGAAAGGTCCCTAGCTTCTGGAAGGAGTAGAGGACTGAGATCATTGGTTTTGGCTAATTTATCCTTCTTAGGAACACCCGCCGGGGAAATTGTAAGATCATTGTTAAAATTGGCTTGCCAGTTTTCCGTAAAAGTACTATTGACTAGCTTTCATCATTGCTTATGTAAAATTGCGTCAACCAAGGAAATATTCGCGGTATAAATGTAACTCAAATTTTAGTACTCTCTTAATCATCATCCACGGTGACAATTTTTTGTCGACAAAAGCATGGTATACGAGGAAAGTTTGGAATAAAATGGAAACATTTTGCAAAACTCAATATTTTAATTTAGCATCCCTAATTTAACACATTTTCCTAAAGAGCAAAGCGAATGTTATCTCCATACATCAAGTAAAGGTGCCAAATAATGTATCACGCAATGTTTAAAGACTCAGGTTCTATTTTCGTTTCTAAGCTGTTGATAAGTTTAAAAGAAACCTTTTCTGCTCGTCAAATATTTCGCACTCTATCAGTATGTCTTTGCCTCAAAGCGTCAATTAAATTCTTGCACTCCTCTCTAAAGCTTGCGTTTATACATCCAAAAATGATAGGATTGGCAATGCTGCTCAACCCAACGAAATAGGTAGCCAGAAAATAAACCTGTCTTGGTAAGCGATATCCTTCGAAGGCTGTGTCAATAGACGTGATGATATAGAGCGGTGTCCAGCAAACGAAAAACCCTAAAACTATTGCAAATAATGTTTTAGTGATGACAATTTCATCGGATGACAGCTTGTTCGTAGCGCTAGCGTTTCGCACGGCAGACGTCGTGACGTTGTTTTGGAAACGTTTAGTATGGCGTATTACGGTGCGGTAAATGCGAAAATAACAGAACGTCACCACAAACATGGGTAACACCGTGAAAAAAATGATTCTGTATAGGGCCTGTTTTTCTCTAGTGTTCGCGATTGTGTAGAAACAAATCATCATTCCTGGATGGAAAGCGAATTCGTGCCCGCGAAGAAGGTACGGCAAAGGGGCGGTTAAGGCACACAGCGAAACGACAGCTATCGATAATAAAATGTACTTCTTGTCATTAAAAAATGTGACGTAAATTTTAGGATGAAAAACTCTTGTGTAACGGTTGATGGCGGCAAGAGGAAATAAAAGTTGAGCAGTGTAGGCCAACACAGCACACCAGTATCCTTGAAACTGACATGGAAACCAATTAAATGTCCAACCTCCTTTGACCGAAACATCGCACAGAAAAGGCATGACTAAAGAGGCCATGAGAAGATCCGCGGCTGCTAAAGCTAACACGTAGATATTGGTGATTCGACGAAGGCGTTCGTTGTTGTAAACGGTCCAACAGAGGATCATGTTGAGCAACAACGCCAGAATATTCAAAACGACACAGAAAGTCGTTTCGACCGCCGCTGTAGATTTTGATCGGTTAGAAAGCTGTGAAGCCAAGACTTCAGTGTCTAGGGAACTCAAAGACAAATTAACCGACATTTTCAAAAAAACGCTGGTGTTTTAGGCGTCTTGAAAAATGAACCCCTTGTTAAGTAGAGTGAAATACCAAGTTTAAATTGTATTCGTTCTATCAGAGATTTTAAATTTAAATGAATATGAATATTAATAAAAAATTTCGTCATTAACTATTCTAATTGCAATCTATTCACAAATAAAACACTTTTCAACGATAGAATAAAGATCCGCGATAATGAAGCTTAAACGGCTAGCAAATTAGTTGTCAAAGTTTTATAAACCCTAACTCCATCTGTTCCTCAGCTTCATAATTTAATTCAAGAAGAAAAGTACGTTTTCAATGCTTTTTTCAGTCTTATATCAAGGACGAACTAGAAAAAAATTTTCAAGCGCAAAACGTTCATTGTAGACTGAAGATTTATTACAATAAACACATTTTCGAAATAAAAGGGAGTTCGATTGGTTTATAGCAAAGTTAAATATTGTTTTATAAACCCCTGGTGAGATGTAAATTATTTTCAGACAAATACTACTAAAACCTACCAGCACGAACAGTTTTCTCCATGGGAACATATAATTATATTTCACATCAGACAAAGCACAGGTTCCCATTATGATAGTTGCTTTACAATTTTACAAAAAAATTCAAAATAAGGTAAGAAAGGGCTTGGCTTGACCGGCGAAATAAAACGAGAAAGAAAGAAAGAAAGAAAAAACGTTTTGACCTCGTTATTGTGTAGATGACATGGACTGTTTTAAAAATAAATGAACATCTGACCTATTATCCATTTGTTAAGAATCTCTAAATTTAGCACATTTTAAACAATGCCTTGTTTTGTTATCCCTATTGTTATTACTACGATATTATCATGTGACTCGTTTTGCCTCTAGCGAGCCTTTATTGAAAAACATTAGGAATGAATAGTCCCCGCTTGAGGGACACACGCGGAGGCGCAAGTGGAGCCGGAAAAAACAGAGCAGCAGAGCATACGAACCTGCGAGATGCAGGTTGAAAACAGGCAAGAAAAAAAAGGAAGAACTTGAAAGTGTGTCGGTCATTTGACAAAACACTCATTGACTAAGTTAGGTTGGGCCGGACAGGACGTACTTCGTCGGTCTTTAACATCGAGGTAGGCCCCCCTCTGATCAGTTAAGTACAAAGCATGCACACCAACGTAGCTGATTTTGTCTCCGTTTCCTAATTGTTTTTTCAAGCTTCCCTCTCAATACAAAAGAGCATGCGCTAATTGCCAGAATAATGAATAGTCTTTCATTTTGTTATTTCATTACATGCGTCTTTTTTCAAACATCTTTCAAAGTGATTTGGTTCCTTTTATGATGTGTTGCACATGATCGTATCACTGCTCATAATTTAACGAGTGATTATCATGAGTCACTCATGGGTAAACTCGAAAAATACTACACCTCTATTTTACAGGCAAGCTCAGACGTCTCACAGAGTGACGGGTTGAAACGTAGCCTGCGCGGTTCCTGCTAAGGACAAAAGACACTGGAAATGATCTGCCCCAAATCAAGTACCTTCTTTAACTCACTTCAAAAATAGCAGAATGATTATTGGTACCCACAAACGGCAAAGCTGTCAATCGTTATTCATTAGCTAGAAAACGACTTAGATTTACGAGTCACTGGGAAAGTTATTTCTATAGACTAAATGCGAAAAGATAACTTTTTGGTAGAGGTTGAGAAATAATTATCGGAAGTACATGTAAGCCTAACAGGTGATATTCTCAGTCATCCAAACTGGTTACCTGTCTACCATCATTTCAGACGATTAGTGCAAAATTTTCAAGGAGCTGCTACCCAAACAATAAGATGGCTACCTACCTTAATGGGAATTCCAATGAAATAGTCTACGGATAGGTAAAGTTTGACTGTGTTTGACTGTTCACCCTCTACGACTTACGTCTTCACGGCCCTATAACTCAAAGGACAATGTTTTTTGTTTACGAAAATACCCAAAATGTCAAAATCTGAAATTAGACTTTTTCTACCACGATGACTAATTTCCGGATAAAACTTAACCAAATATGTGACGTCTGTCGCCGAAGATTGACGCATCCATGAAATTGTTGAGTCATTTCACTCAGTTCTTTAACCTCTTTTGATCACATCATGATTACTCGAGATTTCTGCAGCACATGCTACTCACATGATTCACTTCTGTGTCTGCGTAAGTAATTAAAATTAACCTTCACTTGCGCAGTGAACTCTTGCACCGTGAGGTCTCTTCGAAGCATACAAGGGTCGAAGCTGTTCAAAAGCGAGAATCACTTCAAAATTTAAGTTATTTTTATTTCAAAGAACCACTAAATTCAGCTTGATAAAACTCTTAAAGCATTATCTAGGAATGACGGGCGAACTTTTTCGGCCGGAACAAAGGTCGTATGATTGAAGCCTCCAGCTTATCCGTGAGTTCCATTAATTGTAATACATGCAACCAAGGATATACATCTCGATTAGGCCTGTAGTGCCCGTGCTGGACGATTTCGTTTGACACGGACCAGAGTGAACAGGCTAGAAAAGTCTTGTAGCTTTGACGGAAGCACAGTTACTTACAATTGCATTAACTTAGGAACAATTATTTGATCCGGGTATTTTTATGTCAATCTTAACGTTTTGAGAGGGGTTGTACAATGTCACCAATTTTCAGCTTAATATAACTCAATTTTCATGCCAACGGTTTGGTATTTAGCAACCAAAAACTTGACACGAAGCTGAAGAGATGGCGGGCTCAGGGCTGCGCTCACTCCCATTTTGTGTAGAGCAAGTTAAATAACAGAGGAGAACCAGACTACAGGTATAAAATTGTTTTTTTTTTCCTCAATTTATAACTGTAACGACATGATTAAATAATACAGATAGACAAGAGACTTAACAAGAGATTAGAGTAATCTAGCTAGTTCAAATACCACAAGGTAAAAGCTAATAGGGCAGCAGTTGAACGAAAGGGTGAATAAATTTACATGAAGTAGAGCAAAATCGCTTTTTTTTTTAAGAATCGTATAGAGGAGTTTCTCAGTCGGTATCTGTCAAACCTGGCCGAAACATAAACTCAATTCTATCTGGCCGATCGCGGTCGTCCCAGTTGTCTGAACATAAAGGGACTAATTGGTCTGGTTTTCAGCTAATCTTTCTGTACGCTACGGAATTTATTGGGAAAGACGGGGTCAAAATTTATGCAGAGTATCAAGAACCTCAATATATAGTGATCCGTTGATAACACTCGCATACGTTTTTGCCCCAGGGGCGTAGCTTCAGGTTGGTTCACCTCCACCTTCCCTCGCTGTTCATTCTTTGCAAGAATGAACAGCGGTGTTAGCTAATTCACGTGGCTCACGCAGAATTGCGGAATTTTCTCTCTTCCCCACCCCCCCTCCCCCCTTTCTCCTCTCTAAAAAATTCCTAGCTATGTCTTCCCTGTTCCCTGATACTGCTGGTTCAACTTATACATTTATTCTGCACATAATTAAAAATCTATGAACTGACGTCGGTGAAAATGCCGTCCCGCGACTAACATATTGATTTTTTGCATGGAAAGCAAACTAAAACTGGACTATTTTCTTTCACGTCAATGGCTGTAGAAAAACACCATGTGCCCAAACACAACAGCCGATTACGACCTCATCGGCGGTTGGTGTGAACGCCCGACAAAGTTTTTAAGGAACCACGTGTGAACGCAGCCTTTACAGGATACTAATTTCGTTATGTTACAACATTTAAAAAGTACCGTTTCCTTAATTTAGATTTAATTTTGATCCTGGGATGACAAAAATTAACATTTTGGGAATAGAATAGTCTTCCAAAACTATCTCTAGGTCTACCGAATTGACTAAGTTGAAAGTTGGTTTCTGTGAAAACCGACCACACCGGGACAAAGCGAAAAGAAGACGAAAGAAAAAAAACACGGTAGCCTTGATTATATATAAAAAGAATTAACTGTTCAGCGACTGCATCAACCCTAAGCGGCAATTTTTTCCAGTGCTTCACACGATTTCATCGGCATTGCATTTGCTCGATTCAGTAGAGCCTGATCTCGCCAAAAACGAGCACGAGCTCGCACTTCTTCTCCTGCGAAAGGTAGAAAAGAATATAACCTGTGTTAGAAACTTGATGAAAGATCTTCACTCCCGGACAAAATCAGTCGGGACAGTGTAGCCCGTGAGCAGGTACTCATGATCAGTGCTGCCATCATCAGCATGTATTTTCTCCTTCCTGTTCTCTGTACATTTCCTAAGGTGCTGACATAGGAGAATTTGTTTACCAATCAAGAGCTTTTTTAGTTGCTGATCATTTCCTTTATTCTCATGACCTTGATGTGTGATTCAGAGGTGATGTTGTAACGAGAAATTAGATGTTAGTCACTCTTAGGGGTTTGAAGGTTAAGGCCATGAACAAAGCGAGCCGGGGAGAGGCCTGCAAGGGGCCTGGCACTAATAATGAGTATCGAACCTTTCTCCAGGTACTAAATTACTAAATTAACCTCTCGCCAGGAAGCGTTGCTTAATTAAGGCCTTAAAATTATTCGCGGTCGAGGAAATGCTCGCACTGAAACGTTTATAACAAGAGCTTGCTCGCAAGC